GCACTCCAATAAAAGCCATTAGAAGTGAGTAATTTCCAGGGAGACGAGCACCTGTGTCCAAATCGAATTCACTTGTTTAATTCGATTTCATTTTATAGGCACACAGGTCAGATAAAAGAAAAAAAAAACAACAACTGTTTTTGCATATACTGCTGTAAACACCTCTCTTTCTGAAACAAATCAAGACAAGGCAGCTCATTTTGGATTGACATTAAAGACTGTGTTCACAATAAATTTTCCTTCCTTTACAGCTTTAATTGCCTCACACGCAGCAGAAACGTATCTTTAGGATTTGGACATGAGGGGCTCCTGGCATAAGCATGAAAATAGAGGCTCACCTCGCTTTCTGTGGATGCTGCTGGTTGACATTTAACATCACAGAGAGAAGGGAGGTGGAGAGCCCGGTGCCCTACATGCACATTTGACCCCCTGCTAATGTCAGAGGGGGAAGGTCCCAAACACACTCATCCGTACTTCACTCACACAAAGCACAACCAGAGTACAAAGTATCTACCTCTGAAATTGCAGAGGCTTTACTAACTTGGTAATGCTTATTTAGAGAAAGGTATAATTTAATCCAAGATTAAAATAATTTACACTGTGCTTCATCAGCAGATTCTTTTGCCTTTGCGTCCCAACCAAAATGTGTTGCTTTTTTTTTTTAAAGAAAAATATCTATAGTTAACCTTAAGTTTGTGATGCTTTAAAAGGCCAGTTATTTCCTACCTGGGGAATTGTGCAAACATCTTCATCATACACTGTTTTATGGAGGATGTTACAAACACAGCCAGCAGGCCTGCAACCCGGTGCAGCTGACCTGATTCTGCTTGCACGCAACCATGAAATAACAACTGCTCTTTGGAGTCTGGTGCTCGCTCGGGGAACGTACCGTCCCCACTCGGGTGGAGCATGTGGGTAAACCTCACCATCAGGATTTCGTAAGAAGTAGAGAGAGGAAAAAAAGGAGAGGAAGAAATCACACAATGAGGTCACATTCTGAAATACAAAAGCAGACATTTGCTGGGCAGCCCTTTAAATGTGTCTGTTTCTTACATGCATTTATCTTCCTATCCAAAAATCTATATCCTTCATATATATGTGTATATATATATATATATATATATATATCTATCTATATCAATATATATATATATATATATATATATATATATATATATATATATATATATATATATATATATATATAGATATATAGATATAGATATATAGATATAGATATATATATAGATATATAGATATATATATACACTCTAAAGTCAGAGCTCTATAATGCTATAGGAGCTAGCATGTGTGATGTCTGTTGCTGGGTGGATGAGGCCTTTGCTGTACGACGGAAAACATAAGGAGGGAGTGAAATAAGCTCTTCTCTTCCCGGCAGCTCATAGAGCTGCAGAGCGCAAATCAACCATTATCTGCCTGCACACAGTTTTTTTTTTTATGTGCATCTTTCTGCTACGGGGTGCATTATTATTTGTTTCGTCGCAAAAAGTCCCAAGCAGATCAACATCGACGCTTAATTATGTATTTAAATGCGCACCAGCAAAAGTAAACTACTTCTTGTCGTCAAATTTAATCTTGAATAAAAAGAATATATGTGGAAAAATAGAGTAGGCTATTTTTGGGGTGACGTGGTCAAGTTGAATAATAAGGCCTTTAGAAAAGAAAAAAAAATGTAGTCCAGGTTGGAAATTCTTCTGCGCGTTTTCACACCGGAGAGAAAGCGGCGCATATTCAGCGCTGCCTCGGTGACGCTTTTGCTATTGTCTTTAAATAGATATTTATATTTCTATGCATAAAGTGTCTTCTTTTCTGTCCTTTGTAGAGGATAAACTCTCTCTTTGCGACAGAAATCGTGCTCCGGGAAACGTGCAGCGAGTATCCAGCAGAAGCGCAAATCAAATCCAAAACCGTTTCCAGTCGTCGCTCCAACTTTTCCAAACTTCTCTGCCCAAATGATGGAATGTGCTACTGCAGCCGGTGGTCATTTCTTCCTCCTTCCCTCCCTTTTACGCCCCTCTTCTCTCCCATGAAGTTTTTTTTTTTTTTCTCCAGCAAAGAGGGCTCAGTCCCTGGCTCTTGATTAATAAATGTTTATGTGTTTTGAAGTGCGGCACAAAAGCGGGGTTGGCCTGTGACCCCTGGTAGCCCCGACCTTACGCGGGGTTCATTGTGAGGCGCTGGGAACGGAGACCCTGGGGGCCACGAACCCCCCCACATCCTCCCTCCATGCACGCACGCACACACACGCACTCTTGCAGCCATTCATGTGCGCGCCGCTGCTTGTCGCCCCGCAGCTTCCATTGTTTCAGTGGGAACAATGGCATCACCTCCCCGCCTCCTATTCCTCCATCTCTCTCTCTCTCTCTCTGCAAGAGAAAACGCAGCTTTCAAACTTCCCTCTATGTGGAGCCTGACGCAAGCCCGGGCAGAGTTTCCCTCGTACCCTTCAAAATAAAGAAGACAAAAAATGTTGACAAAACGTTAACACTCTTAGTGGTGTGATCGCTCATGTTGCATCACACGCAAAGGTTGCATCACTGCATAGTGGATTCTTTCAAAGTCCATCAGTGAAGCAGAGTGAAACTGGGGGACGGAGGGCTGGATGCTGACGCAAAACCTGCATGTTCATTTTAAATGCATAATTTGAGCAAGTTAGAAGTAACTACACATTGGAGCGGACCCCCTGGTGCTTCACCTTGGCTACAGGACTGGTGAGGTTACTCAAATGACATCTTGTAGTCTATGGGCTCGACTGGATCTTTGGCTGGTGGTCAATCACTCTAGGAAGTAAAGAGGGGAGAAATAAATATTGCAGTCAATTACTGTCCTGAATACATAAGCAAGAATTTGTTACAACCTGTTCTAAGTACATACTGCAAGTTGTTGTTTTTACAAACAATGGATAGATAGATAGATAGATAGATAGATAGATAGATAGATAGATAGATAGATAGATAGATAGATAGATAGATAGACAGACAGACAGACAGACAGACAGACAGACAGACAGACAGACAGACAGACAGACAGACAGACAGACAGACAGACAATTATTCAAATTAGTTTAAAAAACGTTCTAAGGAAACTCAGCTGATTGCACTGAGTCATTGATTCACAGCATTCCCTCTTTCTAGACGAACAGAAAGAGTTTGTCCGCCAAGAGTTGCAATGTGCCATTGATTTTACAGCAATCCCTTATGCCAAGTATGCATGTAGCGACAGTGGAGAGGAAAAACTTCCATTTAACAGGGAGAAATCTCAGGCAGAACCTGGCACTACGAGTGGCCATCTGCCACGACGGACTGGGGGTTTTGAGAAGAACTGATGTAGGAGTAATTTCTATGTTAATGAAAAGTAAAAAAGTTAATAGCAGGAGAGGGACACATTTAATTGCTGGCAGCCAGCATTATCCACAGCCAAAACAGAACACCAGACCAGCTGTAGCTTCTGTGGAGAGAAAAATACTGAGAGAAAGCATAAAATTAACAGCTGCAATAGCAGCAAATAATGCAAATTGGAAAGTATTGGCAGAAGAAATTGGGATAGGGGGGCAGTGGTCAGTTTGCTGTAACATAACTACATAGACAGCTCAGGATAACTTAATCTCTAAGAATGGGGCATGAGAGAAGACATGAGAGTGCACCCTACCTCCCTCCATTCACCCCCTTGACTTGGAAAACATTTGTTATAACAATATGTTTTATAAAAATATATATATATATTTTAATTTTCAGCTGAACATGTCAGAGAGCACACATCAGTCTGTCATCTAAAAGTGCAGAGTATGGCACAGAAACATATAACTTGACATGGTTATTCACCTAAACTGACACTATACTTATGGTGAACTTTGATTAGAGAAATAGCCGAGAGGCCTGTGGTTTCTCTGGAGGAGCTGTAGTGATAGAAAGTCATGTGAAAGAATCTGTACCACAAAAGTCCAGTTTTCCGTTTGCCACAATCCATGTAGCAAAGCAACTTGTGGCCAACATGCAAAATGGTATGAACACACATGTGCCAACCACAAAAACGAGTCTTATTGTTGGTGGTGAAAAGAAAGAGAGAGCAAAATTCATACAAAATATTGAGACGGGAGGGTTGAAAACAAATGTATTCCACACTTTTGAGATTATTTGTGCAAAGTTTTTACAACCATGTTTCTTTGTTTCTTCCACTTCAGAATTAGTCATCTTACAATCTCAGTAAAATACACTGAAGTTAACAATTTTGCAAGGCACTGTACGTGGACCCAATAAAGATTTCTACTCAGCTCAGATAGTTATTGAATCCAGTAGGCCTGGTTCCATGCTAAATACAGGACCGAGTGCCAGGAAGGGACTCAATGAAGGTCTAATATCTCATATTAAAATTTAGGAAAAAAAGCACATTTCAAGAGTTGTCCTGCACCAGTTCTACCTAGGCATTCCAGATGAGATGATTGTCAATGTGTACATTTGTCTAGACCTGCAAATTGTATGATGCAAAAACACATTAAAAATCTGGATTGAAAATATGATTCAAAGCATGCAAATATCCCATGAAAATCACAAAAAACACGACTTCTACAACATTGCGAAAATACATCAAATTTCTCAAGGCTAAAACGCAAAAACTGCATGCATGAGGATTCTTATCTAAAGCAACCTCATAATAACATAAAAACCCCAAATGTTATTTTTTTAGAGCAATTAGAGCAACGCGTCAAATATTTCAGGAGAAGCTGAAAATCTGTTCTGCATGCATTGATATTTTAAAGCAATAAAGAGGGGGAAATAATCCCAAAAAAGGACTGAATACAGGACTTACAGAGCACGCATTTCAGTGTATAAACGCGTGAGCGGTACGCGCTTGCGTGTGGGGAGCAAGAGAGAGAGAGATTTAACTCATTGTAATGCACACAACGACCTGCCCTCTTTTGAAAAAAAAAAAAAAGAAGACGAAGCGAGGAGGGAGAAAGCGCAGCCATGCTTTGCAGGGGCGACAGCGTCGCTCTCATTGGTAGTATAAGCCTCCTTGCCAAACGGAGTGTGTGCTTTGCTCGCCCGCTCGCCGCTGCACCGACGCAAACCGGGGATTTAAGGCTCCACGATGAACCGGTGAAGTAATCACAGTAACGCTGAAAACCAACAGGACGCGGATACATATGAGCTCAATGTGCTGGGATCCACCATATGGCGCGGACCGCTTCACGGTGAGTATCTCACTGGGTTGCGTTAATCAATTATTTATGAGTCAAATCTGCGTTTTTTATTTATTTTTTGTTTTTGTTTTTGTGGGGCTTTAAATGTCCCTTTATTCATCTGCGAACTGAAAGGGGAAAAAAGCTGCTATGTGGAGATGTTTCGAGACGTAACGGTGCTGTCCTCTCCACTGCACGTTGCACTTGCCATTGTTATTGCGGGCTTTCGCGAATGAAGCGGTTCATGTGCTATAAAAAAAAATAATAATAATAAAAATCGCTAAAACATGTGCAAACCGGCGCAGGCTGCAACCTGCTCATCATTTCATGTCGACAATTGCATAATCTATAAGAAGGGCTAAAAGAGGACGGTGTGTTTCTGAGCTGCAGCGCGGCGCTTCAGGACAATAGGGTCGGGGTTTTTTCCCCCCCATCTCCTCCTTTCTCTTACTTCGCCTTTGGTGGTCAGAGACCCCAAAATCCAGAGCAGGGATAACCGATATGATTTGCCGTCTCTCAGAGTGACAACCGGTGATCTCCTTTGTTTCTCTATCCATCTCCTCTCCGGAACAGCGAGTGTATTGAACGCAATTAACATACGTGCTATGCCTGCGCCTCTTTATTCCCAGTTCTGTCAGTTATCGCTCCTCAGTTGGAATAGAAGGAGCCTTTTTTTGTTGTTGCCCGGATTAGATGCGTTCAGGGTCTTAAGCACGTACAGTCAGTCCTGACTTCAATGGAATTTGATTGGTGTTTAATGCGAATTGTGCGAATTTGAGCGTCTAGTGTTAGACCCGAGCAGGTCTTTATGACATTCACTAAATGGGACAGGCAATAGAACCTTTGCATTGCGTTTTTCTAGTTCTATGTCCTCCTGATGACAGCTGGGAAAACAGTGCTAAGGTTTGACTAAATGTGACTGATTGCACAGCTCGTCACATCAAAGCCAAAAATGCAGCATTCGCTCCCCTCCAGCTTCCCTCCCTCCATCACTGTATGCGAGGGAGTGCACGGACGTGTGCGTGTGCGCATGCTCAAAGCGATCCCGTATTAGTGTGAGCTTTGCTTCACAAGTGTTCCCATTTTTTTTTCTTCCTCCAATAGTGCAATGTTGCATAACTGTTCGCAGCCCAACGCCAGATTTGGGACTTCGCAGCACACACACTGAGGCTGAGCTGTCCGAGCCGCCGTAGAGCCGGTAACACGCATCCCGTCCTACATATTCCCACACGAATTGGGATAGTCGGAGAAAAATGTCCCCTCTGGTTTCAAGGACGCAGGTTAGGCGATGAAGAGGGGACTCTGGGTAATATAGAGAAACATCTGTTTGCCTAGTGACGTCACCAACTGCCCCCACCCTCCACCCCCCTACTCTCCCCGCCCGTCATCTCAATCCTCTTCTGCTGAAGGCAGATTCCTCATTTGTTTGGCTGGAGCATCGTTAATCCCAAAGTCAGATTGGGGGGTGAATCTAGAGGAGGGGGGTGGGGGCAGACCGGACGGGGAGACTATCAGTCCCATTTAGCAGGTGTCGGTGCTCACATTTCGGTCTCTGCGTCTCCGTTCATTTGCACTAAAAAGAACAAAAAAAAAAATCGAAGATGAGGATTCCGCAGTTATTGCCCCGTTTTGAGATTTGCGGCATTTTCTAGGAATATGCAGAAAAGCGAATTCTTTGAAAGTGTTTTTTTTTTTTTTTTTTTTTTTTTGGACTTTTGTTGTTTCTAAGTTGTGAATGTGGAATACTTACTCTTCATTTTCGAGGCTCACGGCGCATTTTGATTTTTTGTTTTGTTTTTTGTCTTCATCCCGTAGGTTACATTATGGAATAATGGAGGACGTCTGTGCTGTCTGCTGCTTTGGACACTACAAACGGAGTCCTTTGCTCTGCTCACCTGCAAAAGCTGCCTGGGACGGTTAATAATTTTCCCTCAAAGCTTGTCTTATGTGTAACCTCAGGTAAACGCATGAATACAGGCAGATCTTTGCTAAAAGAAGAAGAAAAAAGAGCTTCTCCCCTCGTTTTCGGTCTGCAGGCCAGGGCGGCTGCAGAATAATAAGATTACAGGCGCAAAAAGAGGTTTCTTCCAGTTGTCTCTTCTTCTTTTTTTTTTTTTTTCCTAAACAGAGTGCCAGCACTCGTATGTTTCCGTGCAAACCTCTCTCCGAGCAGCGGGTTGCGTCTCTCCGTGTTCACAGCGGACCTTGATTTAATGTCTTACAATTAAGGCACGCGGTGAATGCCAAGAGATGATCCTCCTCTCTTCGAAAAGACATCACGGACACCGTGAAATCATTGAACTGTATTGTTTTATTAGTTTATAATTTATGTATTGCCCGTGTGTGTGTGTGTGTGGTTTTTTTTAACAATAAAGTGATTGCATATGAGAAAGTTCTGGTTCCATCTGAGCATACATGCTCCTAGTGTGTGTGCGTGCGTGTGTGTGTGTGTGTGTGTGTGTGTGTGTGTGTGTGTGTGTGTGTGTGTGTGTGTGTGTGTGTGTGTCCAATAGGAGCAATAGGAGCTTTCCATCCCAGCACAGGCTGCCAGCAGCGCTGTCCACCTTCTGTGGTGCTGAAATCTGCAGCCTTTTGTTTCAGTCGCCTGCAGCCGGCGTGGAAGCGGAAATCATGCAGTGCGGGATTCAGACTGCGCAAAGCCCACACATCGGCGTTCGTTCGCATACCAAATCAGAATAACAAACTGCGCGAACACGAAGACAGCAGGGGTGAACACGTTCCAGCTCAAATTTGTGAAAAAATTCCCCAGAATTTACGACGTAACTATAAATGCCGGTCGATTCCGTTTCTTAGAAATGTGATTATTTTTACGTCATTTTTTTCATAATTTCCGCCCTGTAATATGTCCCTAAAATTCAAGTGCCTCAAAGCAGTAATGATGTACATACAGGGAGCATACCTGAGCAGAGCTGCTCAAGACCAATGTCACATTAAATTGATATTGAGAGGTCGGAAAACGTGCTTGCCTCGACTAAATGTTCTCCCACAGCAGGCGGCCGGCAGAGAGCTGAACGTCACCCTGAGGAAATATAATTCTGCATGAGTTCGAGGACCAGATTTGAAAAGTAGCGAAGACATTTAAAATGCATCTAATGTGTAACAGTTTCAATTCGGAGTGACAGAATCAAATCATTTCACGAGTCTGTGAAATTTTGTCATGTGATGAGTGGATGGATGGATGGATGGATGGATGGATGGATGGATGGATGGATGGATGGATGGATGGATGGATGGATGGATGGATGGATGGATGGATGGATGGATGAGCCATCCATCCATTCATTTTCAAGAAGCTGTTCTCTTAAAATGTGTTCAAAATAAGCACTCACTTCTCCTTTTATGTTCAAAAACACTTTAAATTTAAGATCATTTCACCACCAAACAGGCTGGAAGAGATGTGACAAAGAAACAGTTTGTTGTTGTGTCTCTGTAGGAAGTCATAACCACCATCTGCATCTGCATCATTTCTTTAAACGGCAGTTGTTAGTGTAGCCAAAAAGAGCGCCTCCTATGTTTGTCATATCATGGTTATTACACCTCGCTCCGTGTTGCAAACCCGATTCAAATCCAAACTCAACAGCATGAGAGTCTGGCCTCTGCTGATAGCAAGAAAAAAAAATCTTTAAGTTGAATGAAATCCATAAAGCTGCCATCGAGCATGTTCATGGATGTACTGCTCCCCCTGGAGAGCCGTCTGGGTCCATCTCCTGTCTTCTTCTGGAGGCTCTCCTGCCCTCTTGTGGCAGAAATCAGAACTATTGTCAAACATTCAGATACAAAGTAGGTTATTTTTGACATATATCACAACAAATGTCATCTTACAAATCAAAGACACTTTACAAGTCTAAAAGAACGAATTAATATCACATTTTATAGAAATATATATAGCTAAATTAAAAGTCCTACATTTAATATTTTATGTGGCATTTATTGTAACAATAATAGTGATTGTTATATTTATTTAGTTAAGCATTTTTAGCTGATTGTTGAGTGCTCTGTGCAGTTTTTTTCATGTTTTAATTTGTGCAGGGACACTTTAAGATTGCATAAAAAATTAAAATCTAAAATCTGACAGACTGAAAAACAACAGTGCAACCTGGTTTGATAGCGTGTCTGTTTTTTCTCTGTAAGATAACCATTTGTTTGTTTTTTACTTTGAATACTTTAATTCAATTCTCATGTCATTGTGTAATTAACAGCAAATTAATAAAATTCAAAATAATCACAGAAGTTCCCATCTCCTCTGACTGTTCTGTTCTAGATGTGGAACTGTTCACAGGATGGCAGCAGAACAAAACCTTCATAAGGAAAGTGTAAAGAGTCTCTGAGCATCTTCGCTGTTCCTGCAGCGGCTCTGAAGAAGACTCCCTCTTTGTGCCCTGCAGAGGACCTCTTATCTGTTATTTTGCAGCCAGAGCAGCACCCACAGATTATGTCAGCACAATCTCAACCACACCTCTGTAGAATGTGGTGACGAGCTACAAGCGTTGTTTGTTTCCTCAGATAGCGATAAGATGAAGTGGCTGGTTCTCTGTCCAGGTAATGTCACTGGAGATCTTTGCTCTGACGCTTGATGCCACCCACTCTCTGTCTCTGTTAATCCACACAAAAGATGAAGAAAATCAAATAAATGAATTATTGGAAATCACACGATAATCATTTGACCAATCCACAATAACATTAAACGTAATCAGCTTTCTGACGTATTGCCACAGGATGATGCTGCCACTGAGTTGCAAACATGCTTTTCACAGTGACCCCTATAATGCAAACTCCAGGACATCCACAGCTTCCTGTTTCAGAAATATTTGTGCAGGATTAATCAACAGATTCTCTATCCTGAGTTTTGAATCTTTGAAGCTCTGCCCAGGTTATCATGGGTCTCTTGGCTTTTTTTTTTTCTTTGCCTGATCAATACTCTCCAATCAAGAGGGGGTGCCAAAAAAGAAGAAAAAAAAAAAAGGAAGCAAAGGTCAAAAACTCAAAAATCACAAGATTGAAGAGAAAGACTAGAATGCAGACAGAAGCCAAGACAAACTAGCAAAGACGGGAGAAAACCTGAAGGCTTAAATACGAGACAGATGATTATTCTGATGTAGAACAGTTTTGAGATTGATCTGAAACAAGATGGACACAGAACTTTCCAAAATCATTTGAATTCCTGCTGAACGTGACATCCATTAGCTAATTTCTCAAATATCTCCTATTGTTCTCATGTTATTCCTCCATGTTTTAAAGAAGGATCATAATTTGTGCACAAAATTCTTTGGTGGAAAACTCAGTTGTGTCTCTGGTGGGTGACTCACAGGAGGCAAAAAAAGCAGCCCCCCCTTTTTTTTTTCTTGCCCACATCATTCCTCTTTCACAATATGTAGCTGCCAAGGCGTCAAACAAGGATAAGGAAAAAATCTGTGGCATATTCACAATGGTTTCAATTGGCAGGGGTCAGTCGTAATCACTGCTAAAGGTACCTTGCATGTGTGTGCAGAAACATGCCATGGTAACAAGCCGCGGCACCTTGTTAGGACGTGGAGACCGATTTTGTCCATTAACGCATTTCACCGAGCATCTACAAATGGCTTCTTGGGGAGAGTAATTGCAAAATTGGCTCTTTGCGTTCCAATATGTGAGGCAAGGAAGAATGTTTAAAGAGTTGGTCGCATTGAATGAGCGCACTGTGGGGATCGCAGGGCTACGGAGAACGTCAGCGACACCTGCGGAGTTCAGGTGAGACTTGTGAAATTAAAATTATGGAGCTGTCCAAAGTCCTGAACATTCAGAGAAATCATGCCGTTCCTATGAAACACAAACTAATTATTCTGTCAGAGAGTGAGGCTTGAGTGCTAAAGGGACAGCTGGAAAGTTTTTCAGCCAGTTGAAAACTTTGAGCATTTCTTTCTTATTTTGTCACATTACAAAATAATGTGACAAAAATGTACATTTAAAATCCTGAATAATGTATTTTATTTGGGATTTTGAGTGATATTTCTAAATAAATCTCAGTTCAACCAATTGGCTGCAGACTTCACCTCATAAGAATAAAGCTCTGTCTTTTCTAGTAAAAACATCTACTGTGTTAGGAAACATTTGGGGAACAAACAAACAGTTTGCTCTACTGTAAACCCTCCAAGACATTTCCATCAATGCAGGCCAGCAAAGAAGAGAAATAATCATCCACCTGGACACGCCGATCTTCTCAGTGGAGCATCTTGGTGGCAGCATACGGTGTGGGGATGCTTTTCTACAAACAATAAAACCCAACAAAAGTTGTGGTAAAAACATGACAGAATTTGAAATGGGTTTACATTGCTTTAAAAGGCACTGTGAATATGAAGAGTGTGATGCAAAACAAAAGCAGGAATATTGTAGTTTTATAGGAGACATTTTTCTTAATTTTGTGTAATGGTGGATTCAGAGTTTCCAACCACTTGGGAATAGTTTACCTTTTTAACATCACAGAGCTTAAGATTTTACAGCTTTTCTCTGCAAGAAACCTGAATAATTTGTTTCAATCTGAGGCCTTTATGCAAAATAAAATCTGGTTTTGACATGACACATGCAACGCCACCTTTCTGTGAACAGACGGTAGCAGTACACCTTCAATTTAAACCAAAAAATTTGCAACATCTGGAATAGGAAATAGAGCTTTTTTGGTTCACATTGACTTTTATTTAATTGCAAACAGTATAGATCCAAGACATTTTATTTGCCTGGTTACCTGGGCTGCCGTTGTGGCTCAGGGATGCCAATGTGGAGGTAATCACTCTAGCTTCTCCAAACCATACCAAGTTGTCCTTTGGCAACACTGCCCCCTTTCTGCAATTTAAACAAGGAAAAAGTGTGACTGGAATAATAAAAGTGCTATAAATGGTGAGTGTGACTAGAAAAGGGCGACAGTGCATGCACCATAGTTTGTCATGTTACAACCACAGACTTTAATGTAATTTAGTGGGATTTTGTGTTGCAGACCAAAACAAAGTAGTATGAAAGGAAATCAATTGTTTCACAAATATGAAAAGTGCATTTGTATTCAGCATACAGACTTTATGGTGCTTTGCCAAGGAAGAACCTGAAATAATCGCCCATTCTTCTTTGTCAAACAGCTCGGATTGTTTGGTGGATGTAAAATTTTCCAAACACATCCAGAGTCATGTGAAGGCAGCACTGTAAATCATTACTACATTTTCAGTAACATATATATAAATATATAAAATAAAAGTTTAGTCTTTTTTGTTCATTTGAACTTAATCCAACCTCCTACTTTTTTTTCCCTTTAACATATTAGTGTTTTGCAAAAGGTAGTTTAGAAAATACCACAAGTTTGTCATTTTTTGCTGCTTTACGCAACAACTCAGTTGCAAACATGCTTTAAAAATTATAAGAATTTTGTCATTTGTGGCTCAGAAAGAAGAAGGTTTATCTTCTTCTTTCTTTTGATTGACTGATTGATTTTTTTAATCTCCAAACACACGTTATCTAGTTATTTTAAATACATAAATTGAGTAAATAAATCAATATTTCTTTACTTTTATTTGCCCTTGTCCTGTGATTTTCTTAGCTGCTTTTTGCACTGGTGGAAGCACCAGGAGGTGTGCGCTCAATAAAAGATCATCGCTCTTCTTTAACAGATGCGATTTGCGGTTTTATCCAGAAGATGGCAGAATGAGCACAATTAATTTCCACTGAGCGGCATAAAAACAGACTGGTGGATGTTCAAGACAATTGACTTTGAATAAATAAATCAAATTAAAAGCTGATAATTAATAAAGAAAAATGTATCATTGACACTTCTTCTCAAAAGTGAAAGTCAAAAATATTGTTTTTAGAAAACAATTGAACAGCAAAAAAAAGAGAGAAATTCGCCGATAAATCAGACAATGAATCGTCTTTCTTTTATGAACAATAAATCATCGAAGAAAAAAAAGGTTTGTGTTTGGCTTCGATGAAGTATCTAAATTTTTATGATACGGATTACAATTTTTTTTTATTCAGGCCATTTCATGAAGCGGATGGTGCCTGAAAACTGTTGTAAAGTCTTGAATAGATGCACACTCGCAGGATGCGCTGGTGCGCACGCTGTCGTGTTTGTTCCAGTTTAAACCGCGTTAATTAAAACGTTAACCTGATTGGGTGGAGAGTGTTGGGGAGGGAGGCTGTCTCGGCCCCAATAGGCGAATCCTTTTTAATAACCCGCCTCGAGATAATGATGTAAAAAGACTGAAGCGTCTTGTGCGTAACGAGGGTGATGGTGGTGATCAGCCGAAGGTGAATCCAACACAGACACAGAAAGAGAGAGAGAAAGAGAGAGAGAGTGACACTTTTACACAAGTCTCTTCTTCATCACCGCACCTCAGCTGACAAGAGAAGCTCCAAACTTCGCCGCTGACGCGCAAACAGAGGGAGAAACTCACTGCGAGGCGTCAGGAGTTCCTGGAACCCACCAGGCCATGGACCGGAGGATGAACCTGAACGGCGGCGCGGCAGGGGACATTTTCCACAAAACTCTCAGCGCCGTGTCCGGCAAAAAGATGGACCCGTTCAGAGCGTCTGCCGGCATGGAGCTGCCGCCCAGAGACCGCCAGTCTCCAATTAGCTGCTTTGACCAAGTCGATCCTGACCCGATCCAGCCCGGTGGACTGGCTGGAAGCAGAGGGGGCACTCTGGGTCTGCCGACCGGATCTTTGTGCGTCAAGTACGGGGAGAGCGCCAACAGGACCTCTGCGGCGGAAAGTAGCGGCGGAGAGCAGAGCCCCGACGACGACAGCGACGGGCGGTGCGACATGGTCCTCCTAACCGACGTGCGGACAGCAGGCGGGGGGAAAGCTGAAGGAGGAGGTAAGAAAACCAAAGAGCAGAAAATGCTGCGGCTCAACATCAACGCCAGGGAGAGACGGCGGATGCACGACCTGAACGACGCGCTGGATGAGCTCCGGGCGGTAATCCCCTACGCGCACAGCCCATCGGTGCGCAAACTCTCCAAAATCGCCACCCTGCTGCTCGCCAAGAACTACATCCTCATGCAGGCGCAGGCGCTGGAGGAGATGAGGAGGCTGGTTGCGTACCTTAACCAGGGCCAGGCCATCTCGGCGGCTTCCATACCGGCTACCACCGCGCTGGCAGCTCCTCCACCCGGCCTGGGCGCGTACGAGCAACCGCCCGGATACCCGTTCCCCGCCGGGGTGACTGCGCCCTCCTGTCCGGACAAATGCGCCCTATTCAACAATGCCGCGTCCAGCCTCTGCAAACAGTGCACTGACAAGCCTTAAAACTGCACAGAGACTACAAAGAAGCACACAAGAAGGAGAAAAATCTGACAGAAGATCGAGTAGAGACAAAAAAAATTAACATTTTTATAATATTTACTAAACGCATTAAACCTCGCTTCTGTTTTTTTTTTTTTTTTTTTCCTGTTCGAACAACACTTGATTGTGTACATAAATCATCTTTAAAGTGCTGGTGTGAATGAAGGCCGAATAGAAGCTGAATTAAAGGCCTGTTGCTCTGTGATGGACCCTCTGTGGAAAAGTCTGGGTGACCTGACAACCTGCGCGACTTTTTTTTGCTTTTTTTGTTTTTTGTTTTTTATATCCGGAGCGCAACAGCACCGACCTCACTCTGCTGCTTTCTCACGCGTTTACTTTGACTCATAAATCAAAGGCCCAGTTTTCAAAAGAACCTTCCAAGTGAATGTTTCGGACGAGGAGAGTTAAATAAAAAAAAAGAAAAGAAAACAAGTGAAGCACTCGGTTAATTGCGAAAGATTTACTTTCAACTCAGTGAAGAAGAAAAAAATCTGAAAGAGTAGAAAAGCATACATTTAGGTCTACAAGGTGGTTTTATGTGTCTTTTGTAATTTATTAATTTGAGATATTTATGGTATTTATGCTTGCATTGCACATTGTCGTCTGAGTTGATGTGTTTTCTGCATTTTTTTCATAATTTTTCGTTCTGATGAATCGCGCTGTCAGGTCAAGTCTTTGGTTTATTGTTGTAGATACTTTGGTTGTTCTAAGATCAAAGGGGGCCGTTTGTATGTATTTGAGTGTGGAAAAGCTTTATTAAAATATTTTGAACAACAGCAGAAATATATATATATATATATCTGGTTATTTATCCAAGGCAGTCAGTGCAACTTGAAGCAGAGAAAGGTTTGAATGTTGTGCGCATTGACGTGTCATATTTCACGGTTTGATCGTTTCGTTTTAATTCACAACAAATTCCACCTGAATGCACTTTGGGAGCCAAAACGTTTCAATTCATACTGAGCTCCATGGACATATTCCATCAAGCACAAGCCATTCCGATCAGACTAATTCAGATTTTAGCGTGTTTTGTTACACATTCAGGTTGTTTCTGTGCGTAAAGAATCTCCAGTTTCTCAAGTTTCTTGGCTCTCATCGGGTGTCAATAATTTTCCCCTCCATCAAAACGGCTTCCTTTCTTTTACAGCTAATTTGCGCCAAATCCTTGGAGAGAATAGCCTACCAGAAGTGATAGTTGAAAACAGATCAATCATTCTTAAAAAGGGAGATCAGATGGCAGTTAAATTAATAATATTAGATCAACTTGCATTACGATGCGTAAGAGAATGTTAATGAAAAACACAGGTGATGAGAGTTGTCGCCGTAATACCTGCTTGCAGATAATCAAACTCCTCGTTTAAGGGCGATTACACCCTCACGATGTGATTAAGACATGTAATTACATCGCTGTTCAATCATTGTCGCAGTTTTGCGTCTTTAATGAGAACGCAGCTGCAGTCGCAGCGACTTTGGCCCTTTGGCCCTCCTTTTATTTTAAAAGCCAAACGACACAATATTTCTCCAACGAGATTATTACAAACATTATGGGAATTATTTTAATAGGAATCATTAAACAGTTTGAATCAGGTCTTTTTTTTTTTTTTAAAAAAAGAGAATATCAGACAGATAATCGTTTCTTATAAAAATGGAAACAATTATCCAGCAAAATGACAAATCAGCCAACTCAGGACATCAGTATTGTACAGCTCTGACTGATTTACTGTAAATACAAAAAATACTTATTATCGGCTTTAAAATCTTACTGTAACTCCTGCTCCACTTCCATTACTGAGGATGCAATGTAAAGCTACAGAAACACGATGTAAACTGATTCTACTGTCTGGCTGTGAAAGCATTACCTGTGAAAGCTGAGGTACTGTACTTTGTTTGAACACAGAAGAACTGTTGGGGAACACAGTAGTTTTTCTGTGAACAAAACAAAAGTTGTTTACAACAAGTAATATCAAAGTGATATCTATGTTTGAAATACAATTCTGAAAAATTGTCTTATATGCTGTGGGAACAAAAGTTTGTTTGCAACTTATAAATAAGGAGCACAAAAAAAAAACATATTTTACAATCCCTTTCTCCAGATTTTATGAGATTTTCTTAAGGAAAATGTTTGTTAACTTTTTGTAAAACCATATTAGTATTTTTAGTTCAAACATATATTGGCTAATTTACACCTTCATACTCTGCAGGATTTCTTTAAATGTTCGAAACTTCTTTGCTCATAACAATCTCTTTTCTACAAACAGAAAATATTGAATTTTGATAGCTCCAATAGTTTCCCATGAAGCTGTGAAACTTCACGGGAAACTATATTTTAATTTTTAAAAGCAGATTCTTTTGTTGTTTGACGTCAATAACTTTTTGTTGAATTTTGATTGGGAAGTTTTACCCACACAGAAGCGGCATCCTGGGTCATTTGCCTACATTTTAAGCTAACGCTTAAAATATCAGTTCATTCCACTATATGTTCTTACTATCTGACTTTACTATCATATGCATTCAAGCACAAGAAAAATTTTATCATTTGTTTTTATACCAGAGGCAACAATTTTTCCAGTTTCTAATTAAAAATCTAATAACTTTTGAGCATTTCTTTTCAGGCAATGAGAAATAGTCCAAAGAGTGTTTTTAGAAGTCAAATGATGTCAACATTGTTTTAAAAAGATATGTAAATTTTCAATTTTTTTAACTTTTGAAACAACCAAGTGCAAAAGTTCTCAGAAATTAATACTTGGTGAAATAATCCTGATTTCCAGATACAGATTTTGATGGTTGTTGCTCCATCCATCCCTCCATCCATCCATCCATCCATCCATCCATCCATCCATCCCTCCATCCATCCATCCATCCATCCATCCATCCATCCATCCATTCATCCATCCATCCATCCATCCATCCATCCATCCATCCATCCATCCATCCATCCATCCATCCATCCATCCATCCATCCATCCATCCATCCATCCATCCATCCATTTCTTCAAATACTTTTCATCAAAAATTGTCTTCATCCATCTCTGTAATTATAAGAAATAAAAAACTTTATTGGCATTACAGGGATCAAATCATCCTGATAATTCCTGACCAGCTTTTGGATACATCCACTGAAATTTTGAGTAAGCTATTTGTTATTGATGATGACCTTCAAAATCATCAGATTCATGTTGGGACTCCAAAACATTGATATTGCATGTAGTGAGAGGAAACATTTTCGTAAAAGCACCAAAGACTCACATCTCCGTATGGACAATTTTGGGGATTGTGGACAGGAAACACTATAAGATTTCCTCCTATGATGTTAAAAGTCCCAAAACTTTTGAGGTCATTTTTTTCAGTTTTGAAAATTTATGGAGCTTTGGTGTAAAATGAATTCTCATTTTCTATTTCTTAAGCAGAGCTGAAAAATAAAATAAAATTCATTAAGGCATTTTGTCAAAACAAAAAGTGCATTTATGTCCAGCAGTTTCGGATCTAGATGAGCGTTAGATGCCTCAGATTCCCACCAGTCGGTTCTTTGATAAAGAGTGGAAGCAACTCCTGTTGCAGGATCATCAAGATGTTTATTATATTTCATTTGTTTCCCCCTCCTACTGTGTAGAAACTGAGACTTCACAAAAACCATCAATTATGCAATATGCATTAATGCACAAATGAGTAAAGCATTTAACCCATACTAATACTCGCATTAGGCCACAGGGAGGAAATTCCCCAGGGATGAGAAAGAGCCATATGTGTGGAGAAACAATCCCCAGCCTTTACCAGCACAACAAAATATGTGCAAAGGTAGAGTCCAGAAGTCTGAGACTCAGTATCAAAGAGTCACATTACTGGTGTTTTGGATGTCCACATGATGACCCTTGACATGCCGTTGAGAGGCGGTCTTGAGAAAGTAAAATTAAAGACACTTTTGTTTTATTTCACAGATGAAAAACATTGCTTTAAATCACAAGCCTATTAAATATGAATCTGTAATAAAGGTTTTTAAAACCAGAAGCCAAGACTCATGAATAGAAACAGAAGATAATAATAATAATAAAAAGAAAAAAACACTTAATAAACAAGAAAACGTCCAATTTACCATATCACACTCCAGCAGGGCGTCCCCTTCATAATAGGGCTGCCATATATGCTAAGGAGGGCGAACATTAAAGTCAAAATATACATAAATAGGCTGAATTGAATATGATATCAGTAACCACTCCAGCGGACTCATCCGCGCTGTGTCATACAGTAGATATATGTGCTGCACCGGCTGAGGTACCAAATCAACCTCTGGGTGGTAATTCATTGTTGTCAGGCCACTCGTAGCATGGCATAATGTTGCCTTGTTGTTGTGCACACACAATGCTTGCTAATAAATCTGCAGCTGAGGTGGTCACACTAAAACAGCCTCCTTTTTTATGGAGTTAGACCATCTCTTTTGGCAATTTTAGGAAGGCAGGAGCACAGACCTCTTCTGGTATTATGAAGAGATTTGCTTCTAAACTGGATCTTTGGAGCATTTTCATGTTTTTAGATTTTAGCAGGTCTATAATTTAGACTCCACTGGGAAATATTTCACACATCACAATTACTGGGCAAAGAAAGACCTAACGGCAGCCACACAATCACCAAATGTAAACTTCAGTAGTTTTACATGACTAAAAATCATGCAAATGATTCAAACCCAATAATGTAAGAAGTGTGGGACTTTTAAAAAAATAAAGCAAATCATAAAGTAGTACCATAATAACTGTCAGCAGTTCTCACTGTAAGCTTGTCTGTTTTTCAACCCGGAAGTGAGTGGAATATTTTACACAGTTTTGTGTATTAACAAGAAACATATCTGCAAAAACAACAGCGAGAACAAAATTGTTGAAAGTATTAATGTGATTGTATTAATGGGTTAATAATTTCAATTTCTTTTGCAATAAATATACTGATCTACAAAATACACATTCAAGCCAAATTCGCTAAAAAACTCAATGGCATATTCTGCACCAGTCAGGCTCATTCAGGCCGAGTTGACCACTTTTGACTTTGACCAATTGAGATTTTTCTTTTGAAAAGGACTATAACACACATGTAAAAGTATTCCAGCGTAATTCTCACTTTTGAAAAGCTTCTGTCTGTACCTTTCATTAGTTTTTTTAAAATGAAACTCATAAAAATGGCATTATGCTGCTGTCTTTTAGAGACCGGAAAAGGCAGCAATTGCAAACTACGATGCTTTTTGTGAATAGTGATTTTCAGAATTTGATTTCTTGTTCGTCAATCTGAGCTGATAGAATGAAAACTGGGCATTTCTCATCCCTAGGCAATTGAGGTGAATCCCTATTTATAGTGTTTTCCTTACTGACACATGTGCTCCTAATTCTTCACACCAGATATATATTTTTTTAATCTCACTAAAGATCCAGTAAACATATGGTGGTTTGCTTGGCACAGAAACTTCTAACAGAGGACAATAAATGACGTAGGAAAGTGTGATTATCTTCTCATCTAGAGTCCTACCATTGAGTAGCATCTCTGATATTCCAGATGCTGACATATTAATCAGATTAGAAAACCCAATCCCCTAATCCCTGTTTACCGATGGCTCTGTTTTTGTGCCGTAATCTGATGTTCTTTTATTCCCCCCTGATTAAACTTTGTGGACAAAGCGGGAAATGAAGCACCACAGATTGTTTACTCCACCCAAAAAAAGTAAAGATAAACAATTTTCCAGGGAGCTGAGCAAACAAAAACAGGTGCGATGACATTAAATGTTATTATTTTGCCAAAGAAGAAATCTTTTACAAATGAGGACGAGAAATTTGTCTGATTTTCTTTGCTTGTAGGACTGATGCCGATTAGAGCGTTTGCTATTGTTTTGATCCATGGAGCTCTTCACATTTATTGGCACACCCACCTGGTGAAGGTTTGTGAGAAGACTTAAGATAAATTAAGATTTTATTATCGCGGCATAATCTAATGCTGAAAAACAAGACACCGTCCTCTAACAGTGAGTTTTGTAGATTTGCAGAGATTTGCACGGATTTGAGATAAATCTATGTTTTCCTCCAGCCTGGTTTGTTACAGTTCCAGTTGTGTTAAACCGTTTAATTATGGCTCTGACTGTAGACATGGTAGATACAGGTGCATTTTAAAAATTTAGCATGTTTCATTTGTGGTTCATGTAACTCATTCATTACAAACTGAGTGAGATACCTGACACGTTATTTTTCGTTTATTTTGACGAATAAACAAAAGAATAAAACAAATTATTACTACAGACGGTTGACTTGACATATATACACAAAAACAACAGCGAGAACAAAATTGTTGAGAGTATTGTAAAACAAAACCTATTCTATTACAAAGTTGTTTCTTGACTAAATGTCAATGCCCTTAATTAACTGCCATGTTCTGTGGTCTTTCCGGTTTTGAATAACATCAGAGAGATACAAGCCTTTGTGTTACATGTTATTGAAAACCCAAAATGAAAGTCTTGGATTTCTATTGAAACCCCTTCAAATCTCACATTTAGCTTGTCAGAGTTGTTTGGGGTGCCGATCATTTTGTCAAAAACAATTTCTGCCCTAAAGTCACATTTTCTTCCCACTGAAT